TGCAGTGCGCAGGCTTCTCATGGTGGTGGCTTCTCTTGTTGAGGAGCACAGGCTCTAGGCACTTGGGTTTCAGTAGTTGTGGCACATGGGCTCAGTAGTTGTGGCTCGCGGGCTCTAGAGTGCAGGCTCAGTAGTTGTGGCGCACAGGCTTAGTTACTCCGCAGCATGTGGGATCTTCCCAGACCAGGGCTTGAACCCATGTCCCCTGCATTGGCAGGCAGATTCTTAACCACTGTGCCACCAGGGAAGCCCCTGAATTTTTAATTGTAATTAAATTAAGTAGGCACATGTGGCCCACATTAAATCCTTCAGGAAATCCCAATCAGTTTTCTTTTGACAGTATCTAGAAGCCGATCACCTCTCACAGCCTCCGCCTTTGTCTCTACCAGGATTACTTCTGCAGCCCCCTTCGTGGTTTCCCGGCTTTGCCCTTGCCCCATAGAATCTATTCTGAACACAGCAACCAGTGAGATTCTTTTAAATATATAGCAGTGTATGTCTCTGCTCAGAACCCTTCACATTCAAACTCAACATGTCTAAAACCAAACTCCTGACCTCCCCACCTCCTGCACACACACCTTCTAGCTCAGAGTATGAGCCCAGAGTCGTTGTGTCTCCCAGACTCAGTGGTCCAGCCCCTAACCCCACATTACATCTCAGATTCTACTTCTGCCCCTACAGCCCCCCGACCTTATTACTTCCCCTTCCTTGTTCCCTCCACTCCAGCCACACTGTTTTCCTCACTGATCTCCAGGGTGCATGTGGGCTGTTTTGTCTGACTGATGGGCTCTCCCCTCAGACATCCACATGGCTCACTACCTCACCTCTTCCAGTCTCTGGTCAGTGTCACTTCATCAGTGAGGCCTTCCCTGCCCACCTCCAGGATCATGGCACCACCCCCTTCCCTCCCTATACCACTTCTCTGCTTTCCTTTTTATATTTTACTTGTTTATTTGTTCCCTTCTCCTTCTGCTCTAGATTATAAATTCCATGAAGGCAGAGATTTGTGTCTCTTTTCTTCCCTACTAAATCTCCGAGCAAAAGAATGCTTGTCAGTTGTTGGTGGTCAGTAGGTATTTGTTGAATGAATAAATGAGTGGATGGATGGATAAATGAATGAGTGAATGACGAAGATCGATTGGAGGAAGAAGATACCAATTAGAAGCACAGAATCCAGTGGGGAGGCTAGTTTAATAGGCAAAGAATTGTCATTTCTTCCAATTGATACCTGTCTTTCCTTGAACAGTCATTTTCCTTTTTAAAAAATGCATTGTTCTTTCTCATTGAAACTTAAACTCCTTGGAATCAAGGACTGAATTCTTATACCTTTTTGTTTCCTCAGCAAATAAACGTTCAGTTATAAGGAAAGATAATTCTCATTTGGCCAAAAGTACTCAAGTCACTCAATTTTTTTAAGTCTTTTTTCCTTATGCTAACATTTTTTCTTATTTATTTGATTTTATAGAATTTGCACATCTTCCCATTGAATACTCCTGCAAAGCAAGGAGTCTTTAGACCAAATAGGGTTAATCTGCACAGTGGTAACTATGGTAGAACCACAACTGATAATTGCTTCAGCCAAGCCCAGTGGAAATACTGTCACTTCAACAATAGTCTAACCTAGTCACAAACACTGCTTGGCAGCTGTCATATGTCATGGCTTTTAATCAACTCTAGGGCAAGAATCATTCCATTCTAACAGATGGACATGAATTTAACCAGACAATAAACCATGTATGTGCCATAAATATGTTTGCTGAGGGCATGATTCCCTGTACAGAACTTTAAGAACAGCTGTCTTATCATGAGCTACTGTTGCTTGGTGAGATGATTTGTTAACCTAATTATGAAAGATTACATTTGTCTTTAATGTAATCTTTAATGTTAATGTTATCTTTAATGTTAATCTTTCAATGGCTTCCCCACACTACCAGTTGCCTAGTTGTTTGGGGGGGGGCAATTTTTATAAACAAAAGTTATTTACATGAGATTTTTTAAAACTAATGATATGGTTCCTTTGCAAATTTGGTGTCATTTGTCTAAAAGGGCTTATTACCTTTTGTGTGTTGCCAGGACATGCAAATCATTAGTTGCATGCCCTGGCAACATTAATTAGTCATTTTCTTTTCTTCATGCTTATTTCCTTTTAGTACTTCTGTTAAATTACTATATTACCTACTACTTAAATGGCTTTAGCTGTACAATTTCTTAAAAATACAATTATTTTGTCTTTCTGCTTCTTTCTGTCATCTTCAGAGACAATGTTTTTAATTCTCTCAACAGTGCTTCCCCTGTGGAACTTGTGCAATTTAAAATATGAAGTATTTGTTCGTTTTGTGTTCTTCAGACAGTAACTTCTATTGACGTACCTTTTCATTGGCACTATCCACCAGGCAAAGTATAAATTGCTGTATAAAAACTGGAAAAATGTTTTGAGTAGAGCACATGTTCTCTTAGCATGAAGCAGATGTAAACCTTGCAAGTGTCTGTCTAATAAAGTATAGCATTTGGTTCTATACAGCTGGTGCCAAGATTACCAATTAATCATGTTGAAAGGCATTTTTACTAATCAGGATCCCCTCTGTTCTTTACACATTCTGGGTATGTTAAAAGAGAGAGATGGGGCACAAAAGTGGCTTTCTACTTTTAGTACTTTGAGCGGTTCTTTTTCTCTTTCTGCATCTTCATGAAGTCAGTCTCCTTTTAGAACCATGTCCGATAGGGAGCCCCCTACATGTGAATGACTGATTTAGTTCTCCAGTTTGGTTTGGGCATGAGTGTTTGATGTTAGAGTATTCCATTGAAGGCAGCCACACTTTGAACACTTTAAGGCAGCTGGAGAGAAGAAAAGGAATGTAATATACTGAATGTGGTTTCTTTTCTTATTTGCATGGGCAAAAGCTAATATTTGCTTAGTTAATGTCAATTCATAGTTTCTATGGTTACCTGGCCACGGAGGAGGTTGAACATTCTGGAAACAATTAATACCAATTTAGTTTTATGTTATCAAAAGCAGTGGAGCAGTTTTTCCCAAAGATTAAAGGTGAATGGATTAATGTGACTGCCAAGAAGATAAAACTTTACAGGTATGAAAGACACAACACAAATCAGTAGCAAATGTAAAAGCTAAAAGAGCTACATCATTTTCTGTTGTCCTTTTTGTAAAGCAAGTGTGCTAATGAAATTAAATTTCAAAACCCAATGAACCTTTTTTTTCTCATGTTTGATTTCCCAAGGATAAATTTGTTTTCTGGGCTCCCCTGGTGGTGCAGTGGTTGAGAGTCCGCCTGCCAATGCAAGGGACACGGGTTCGTGCCCCGGTCCGGGAAGATCCCACATGCCACAGAGCGGCTGGGCCCATGAGCCATGGCCGCTGAGCCTGCGCGTCCGGAGCCCGTGCTTCGCAATGGGAGAGGCCACAACAGTGAGAGGCCCGCGTACCGCAAAAAAAAAAAAAAATTGTTTTCTGTGAAAGGAAGCTCATTATGGAAGAAGGTTTGCTACCCTGTGCCTTCTGCTTTTTTAAAAAAGAGTTAATAATGATGAAACATAATTGTTTTAATATCAGTAAGTGGATGTTTATACTCTTTGATAGTTGAGTATTTCCTCAATGCTGTATTCGTGAATTAATTTATAATACTTTTTTAAAGGGTAGGAGAAATATTTCTTTAAATATCTTTTTTTTTTTTTTGGCTGCATCGGGTCTTAGTCGCGGGCACACGGGCTCTTCGTTGGCCCGCGGCATGTGGGATCTTTGTTCCCCCCACCAGGGATCGAACCTGCATCCCCTGCATTGGAAGGCGGATTCTTAACCACTGGACCACCAGGGAAGTCCCTCTTTAAATATCTTAAGGGCAGAAGAAGTCCATTAAATAATCTCCAGATCTGAAGATAAATAGCGTGACTGGTTCTTTTAATGAAATGTTTATTACTATTTGAAAAATAATTGGAGATAGGGGAAAACAAAGATGTGCTAAAAGAAGTTTATCCACTAGAAAGTAAGATATTCAGTGTTAATCATCCTCCACCAGTAAAGTTGGGTTTGTGGAATGTGGATCCACTGTATAGGAAAAAACATAGATGGTATTACATTTTAGACAATGTGTTGCAGAACCTGGTTTTTTCAACACTGGTGTAAAAGAATCTATAATGACATAGGTTATAATTTTTTGTTCATTTATACTGTTATATATATATATGAAATATAGGATCTAAGAGTATTAATTGGATTATTCCAGAAAGTCTTCCCCATTCTTGTTACCAGTTGCCTCCACATTTTATATTACTGATTTAAATCTTAAATTTCATAAAAGCACCTTACAACCAAATTGACTAATAGCTACTACTTTAAATTTTCAGTTCTTCTAAAATTGAATATTTAGATAAAAGCAGTTTAATATTTCTTGTATCCATTTTCCTACATCAACATCTTTCCACCAAGGTTACACTTGTCAAAGTAAAATTCATATGTAAAAGGTCTGCCCCATTTTACTAAGAATACTTTGTATTCTTAGAATAAAAAGAAAAGTATTAATCTTATATAATATTGTTAGCTTTTAGGCAGGTGTCTAATGCAGTTATAGTTCTTTTTATTTGAGAGACTTTTTTCTACTGTCCCTATTTTGTTTTTCACTAATATTAAATAAGAATGGTGGTACTTTTTTAAGGTTTTAATTTGTGTGAAATTAAAAACGTTAACTCTGAAACATTAACTTAAACGGAACTAGTTTTCTCCATTGTTAAAAATGGTTTGTTATAGGAAATTTTAAACATCCACAAAAATAGAATAGTAAAATAAACGCCTATAATACACACCCAGCTTCAATAATTATCAGCCTTTTATTGTTTTTATTTGCCAAGATTTCTTAAGACTATTGTCAGAGGTTTTTACTTTTGTGTTTTTCTTTTAAGTTGTAGTTCTATATCCTGTTTCTACAGTGACAGTAGATATTTAAACAAAACTAGGTCATGTAAACGCAGTAGACCTAACTTTATTTCAGGAAGTGGAGCGAGAAATCTCATTCAGAACAGAATGTGGACTGTATTACTCCTACTACAAGCAGATGCTGCAGGCTCCAACCCTCATGCAAGGTAATCACAACTAATAGTTTTATTTGGGGTCTACTGCATTCTTTTCAATATTTCTGCTAAAATATACTTTTGCACTAATACATTCTAAATGCTTTATAGATCTTGTGTAGTTTTTCCTTGAACTTGTATAGTTTTTTTCCTTGTTAACATAATCAGTCCATGAAAATGTTTTGCTTTGGAAGAAGTTATGTAATATTTTATGTAGTTCTCTCCTTGCTTCTCAGCTCTACTCCATCCCAAATTATCTCTTCACAATTTCTTGGTTTTGGTGGTGTTTTCATGGTCATTTTGGAAAAGGTCTTTGTATGTGAAAGGAGTATTGTCTGAAAACAGGAGACGTTTTGGTAGTACAAATGAGAATTACAGTTGTCTTTTTTGTCCCCAGTGCCCCCATTCATTCCTTTATTTTGCAGTTACCATTTTCCCACATTTTCTGTGTTTCTAAGCGGTTTAGAGCACATACTCTTT